TGTCTGTCTCAGCTTTTGCTCTTAAGCTTTAGCATCAGGAGAGGTCTAAACAAAGGGGAGCAAATCTCAGGCAAAACAACAGGCAGAATTAATTCATGATTTAAACTACCACAGGCATGAAGGACATTACAGCTGTCACTAAGTTATAAAAGCTCATTTTATTTGAAGCCCTTCGCTCTAAGTCATTTAAATGTCACCAGAGAAAAGCTCTTGTTCTGCAAACCAAGATAGCATCACCCACAGCTGGCTCTGCTCTGGATGCTGTCAGCTGTCACTCTGCTGACCTGCAACTCTCGGGTTAACCGAACATTATGTACATCTGTTGCCTCCGTTGTTCCATACTGATGGATCACTTACATGTGACAACAGGAGTGACACTTCTTCCCATCTACATCAAGTATTACTTCAGTTATAGCAAGTTGATTCCTTTGGGGACTCAGAGAGTCTTAGAAAAAGCACCTCCTGAGGAAAAAACCTCATCACACAACTTCATCTCCACAATCTGCCTGTGGTTTCAATGCAATATACTGACATCATGCCACACTTGCTGCATTTCAAACCATTCTGGGGGCAAAAAACCCCAACTACAAAAGAAGTATGTCTGTGTTTTAGGTACCCTTATTATCATAAAAGAACAAACCCTTAAGACTGAATAATAAATGCAATGGCTTGAATCATTCCAGTATTACGTCAGTGTTTCCAGTGGTTTATAACATGGTACAAGAAACAAGCAACAAGCACAACGATTTAATTGTGGAAATATACATAACCTTACTACAAGAAGAATACCTAACTGGTTTTGATTTTGGTATTGGCAAGAAAGAGAAGGGCGTTTTCTGGTTTAGTTTTCTTGTTTTGTTTATGGCATCAGGAGCCAGCTTTGTGCCTTAAAGCTTCCTTGACATTCACTTGAGCAACCACCTCATTTCCAGCACGGCTACTTCTGTGGTGCTACAGCAAAACTCTCATTTGCCCATCACTCACCTTCATGTGATGCCCTAAGCACCAGAGTTATGTGCTATTAAAACTAACTTCCCTATGTTAGTAGGGAAGTGAGTAGAGTTAGTAGAGAAGTTAGTAGAGAAGTGAGTTTGTGCTCTGAGACACGAGTACTTCAGATATAATGCATCAAGCAAATGATACCTACATTTGCGAAGTCAAAGTGACAGCAATAAAGGGGCATGAAGTAAGCACTTGTTACTGCTTCTAATAGTAAAAGTGTATCAAGCACTCTTAGAAAAATCCAAGGGGTGAAAATCTGAGGTGGCAGAGGAGTTATGAGGTTTAAGATCAGCTTCTTTTGTGTGAGTGGAGTGATGAACAAGCACAGCACTAATCACTTAAGAAACCTCAACTTGTTCTAACAGCCAAAATGAGCCACACAGGTAAGAATCAAGAGAGAACATGCTGACCACGCTTCATGCTTATCTACCTTATCTACCATGCCTGCTTCATAGGTACTGAAGGGAGAAGAGCTGCTATTTGAGAGGTAACAGTAACTGAGGACACTCTATTACACCTCTGCAACTTGATACATGTTTTAATTCCAGATCCTCTCATCTATTTTCTTGCACAAAGGTCTGTTTACTTTGGCTTCCTATGCCAAGGGGTGAATCTCAAACATCTTTAAAGAAAGGTTAAGGGTGGGGAAAGGAATCTGAAAAGTAGGAAACTGAGTAAACATCTACAGATCTTTCCTCCTTCCTGTATGAAATATGTTGGGGTTTTGAATATATGCCACTAAGTGCTCATATAAATGTTAAAGTGGGGCTGTAGCCTCCCTCTAAGTCAGGGGTGGACACTCCACCGAGTCCCAGTGCTGGTTCCTGAAGTTCACAGACAAATACTAGAAATCTGCAGGAAAATATAGTATTAATAAATGTTTGCATTGAATCTCTTTAATAAATATTATGTATAAGGATTTCAAAATGTATTTTCTACCGCGACGCTGAATCAATCCCTCAGAAGGGTTTAAGATTCTGTAAGAGAAAAACATTCTCAAGTGTAAAGACTTAAGAACCCCCACAGTAACTAAGAGAAATCTTAGCAGTCTCTAAGCTATAGGAACAACCTGTATTACCTCACATGCTCATCCTTCAATTGACTTGGGATTTTCAATAGTGAAAATTAAGTGCTTTGATCTAAACAGCAGTTACAAAAAACCACTAGTTATTAAGTTTCTTCTTTCCCAAAAGCAACCATTACTATTTAATTGCCTATTTTCACTTTTCAAAGCTGCTCCTTCATAATTAACACACGCTCAGGTAACTGAAGTTCTAACCCACGATATTCTACTTCACTACAAAGCTCAGTGAAAACATTGACAAGCAGCTTTGCTTTGAAGTAGCGTGGCCCTGCGTTCCCGCACGGAAACGGCTGTTTTCACAAGGAGAGCTAAAAGCAGTTTGTCTTTAGAAACTACACTACAAAGGCAGCAGAGCTACGAGTCTTGGGAAAGTCAATCACCACATAGGAAGAAGTGAAACAAATCAGTGACAAGTCTGCCTAAACGTCTGCTAGCTTTATAAATAAACTTGCATTTGATGTTATGAGCCTTACCTGACACAGAGACCGTGTGTGACCTTACTCCTTGCTTCTCATTGTTGGCCAGCCTGTAAAAGAGAGGTTGGAAGCGCTGAATGCTGTACATTCTTCCTGGTCACATACACTGGGAATTCCTCCTAACAGGGCACCTCCTGTAATTAGCAGGGCCAATCCATTCCCCACAGTGACAGCTTTTGAGGGGGAGAAAAGTCAGAAAGGAATCTACCATTTCAAACCCATCTGGGGGAGGGAGAGTGGGGAGAACGCGTTAACCGTTTCCATCAGCACATCGATGCCCAGTGACAGAGCAAACAGAAAGGAGAAGCCAAACCCCAAGTTTCACAAAGTTTCCAGATTAAACTGTGCATGTCTAAACATGGCCAGTGTGTGCAAGCTGATGGTGCTTCTCCTTTCTGTATTGCCTCTTGGAAATACAGTATGAATTGAGGTTTTGTCTCCAAGATGACTTAGCCTGCACAACAATTTAAAACCAGTTTAGATGTCAAGCAAATAAAACCAGTAACATTTAAATGCAATTAGGGATAATTGTTCATTAGCATCAGAAATTCCAATGAATTCTTCTGTTTTTTCCACATAAACAGAATTTTAACTGTATGAGAGTACTGCACTTCATGCTTCCAGAAACCTGGAATTTCAGCTGGCAAAGGCACATCTTTCCAGATGCAAGATGCTGCTGGCTACTAGTTGTACGTATCTGAAAAGAGCCCACTCCTCTGCTACCAGATGAGGAGCATACGCAGTGCCCTTCTTCAGACTCAAGCATGGAAATCCCATTTTTATGAACTGTCTCAAAAATGGGAAAAAGCTTTTCCTTCAAACCCTATTTTATCCCAGAAATCCCTGTAAATAAAAAGGATGAACTTCATGTAGTTAGAAAGTTATTCTGTGTTTCTCATTTGTACGTATTTCAGTAAAACCTGATTTTTCTCTTCCATATGAGTGTACACCAAGTTTACCAATTTTACAGCTTCCAGCCTCAACTTTATTTCCTTCCCCCCCTCACCCCTTTCAGTTTAACTCCTCTCTTTCTGCACCATGAGAAAGCTACCTGGCTAGCAAGGACTGCAGCAGGACCTGTGCAGGAAGAGCAGCCACTAGGATCTGAATAGGAACCCCAGCCACTAGGATCTGAAGCGGCTGGTTTCTTGGAGATTCAGGAACAAATTATGTTCCATACTCCATCCAAATGGTAAAATAGTAACTCTGGAGTCCTTCCAGGATTCAAGGAAGAACAGAATGAGGTGGCTAAGGCAAAGTAGGTACAGTCCCTGTGTCCCGAAAGAAAGAGGTAAGATGCTATAAACTGCTAAATTTCATTTGGTCTTTCAACAGTTATCTCCTGGTACTGGACACTGGTGATGCTGCCTGGTAAGATTTAAGGAAGACCATCTGATGATACGTGACTTTAAACCAGACTTGAGTGTGGCTCTTGAGAAAGCAGTCAGATTAAAAACAAGCAGACAAAACCCCCAAGTGGCTTGGTTAAAGGAGTGAAGTTTAGGAGGCCACAATAAGGAACTGCCAAGGGAAAGGGGAGACACCCATCCCAACTTGCTTAATAGGATGGAGACCTTTCCGCTGGCACCAGGAGTGTGGAGAATCAACAGGAAGAATTACTGGGCTTGCCTACCACTGTGTTATGGACGGTCAACTCCAGCAATGTAAGAATGTTCTTAGCTCAAACAGAGCTAAACTACAAATCTTTTCTTATTCACCTTAAAGCTTGAGAAGGAGAAAAATGCAGAGGTACCTTAGCTATATATACATCTAATGATAAGAATTATTAGATGCAGATAGCATGCCTCAGCATACCTTGGATATAGTAACACCATAAAACAAGCCAGAGGGAAAAATGCAACTCTTTGCCTGAGAGATCAGCGTTTTCTACAAACCCACAATTACTGCTGGAGAAGAACTTTCTACATTACTGTATTTGAAACAACAGATTAAGCAGTATTTGCTGTGTGAATGGTATTCTTTACTACACACAACCCTGAGAGCCAAACTTCAACTGGCCCCAGTATGGAAGTTTTATTAACAAAAGGTGACATGACAGGATTATGATAGGAGAAAGAAAAATACTTCCTGTATTTCACATAAGCAGAAAAGGGGACAAATGGGAAAAACAAGACCCATGGACTGCCTCAGATTGAAACCACAATTCAAAACAGTTTAGCATCACTCCTATAATTAAGTTCACTCATGGACACAAAATAAATTGCCCGAATCCCAGTCAAGTGTTTTCAAAAATTCCTTCTTTTGTTGCTGTCAAATATGATGGATGCATTATGCACTTCTCCCCCCAGATTTCATTTCTGGTATCTTTAAAATCCAATACTGCTGTCAGTCATGTATGCCCCCATGGTCCCAAATCACCTCCTGCTATTCGTCCTAGAAGCCCAAAGCAACAATAAAAATGAAGCACGTACAACAAGTCCTACGGTGTCATTTAAGCAAAACTATGTTTAAAAATGTTTTGGTTTTAAATATGTAAGAAAAGAAAGCACACCACTTACTTTGGTATCGATGGTAAAGCTCTTTCACCTTCTGTGTAAACAAGAAGAAAACAGAATTAAGACTTTTTCAGGTTTCCACATAAGCTCTCTCAATGTGCACTATAACACAATCATCTTTCAGAGCAACTTTTGTTGATTCAAAGACTGTTCTATACATGTATTAAGATCAGTGTATCAACACAACTCCTGACCAGTGATACAGACCTTTTGGCAAACTCTTTATCTGAGAGAACAAAGTAGAATATGAAAGTTCTTATTTATTCTTAACAAATAACTCCTGATAAACCACCTGCAGAAGGTACAACAGTATCGCTTCTCTCTAGGAAGAAATGCTTCTCTCTTATATCCAAGATGTGCTAAGTGTTGATGTATATATATGTGTGATGTCCCTGCTCATGGCAGGGGGGTTGGAACTAGATGATCTTAAGGTCCTTTCCAACCCTAACGATTCTATGATTTTATACATTAAACAACTGAAGCCAATTTGGGCTTCCAAGTAGGACAACTGAAATAGATCATTAAAACACATAACTGATCATACTGATGACAGTAATGCTGAATAGCCAGAGATGAAGTTAGCTTTCTGTAATCTATTTTCAAATCTTTGCAAGTCTTTCTATGATAATGTTATTGTGTACAAAAGCTTGGAGGTACGTATTCAAGGGTCTTCTTCCCTACTGGATTTGAGGAGACATTTGGTATCCATGAAGTTCCTAATCCTTCAGTAAAACACCGATGACTGAGAGCAGATTGAAGTACACAGGGAAAGAAAGAAGGTGGGCAACAAAAATGGGTTTCACCCTCTACATCACTGTAGCACTGTTAAAAGTGACCTGAGAGAACAGGGAATAGCCCTTTCAGAAAATGGTGACACAACTCTTAATATGCAGTGGAGCTACATATTAAAAAGCAAGGGAAATTATTTTCAATAGCTGTTTATTAACTGTGCACCCGTTCTCTTGATTTAGAAAACCTGGAATGATGAAGTTAACTGCGCAGGTTAATAAAGTTCTTTTACAACAGAAGTTTCTATGTTTATATCACTTTCTAAACCTTTAGAAACCACAGACTGCAAGTGTGTTTCACCAGCAGAGAAGAGATATAGGTTAGATCTAAGAAGTTCTTCCCTGTGAGGGTGCTGAGGTGCTGGCACAGGGTGCCCAGAGAAGCTGTGGCTGCCCCATCCCTGGCAGTGTTCAAGGCCAGGTTGGACACAGGGGCTTGGAGCAACCTGCTCTAGTGGAAGGTGTCCCTGCCCATGGCAGGGGTTGGAGCTGGATGAGCCTTAAGGTCCCTTCGACACAAACCAGTCTGTGATGATGATGATCATTCTGTTCTCACTAGTATCAGAGCAACACACTGTCAGGCACTGAACAGAACCAGGCCCTTCTCTGGGCTGATGGGGGTGGGAGAGGTGGACAACACATGCTCAGCCCTGGAGAGAAGGAAGAAGCACATGGCACTGATCTTAAGCCATAATCTGATGTATGCAATGACCGGCTACACGGACAACATTCCCCTTCTGGCTGCTGGAGATACACATCCAGTGGAGGGCAGATATGGACAGGGGGAACTGGAAAAGTGTATGTCAAAAAACCCAAAAAGTTTTATTTATAGAAATAAATCCTACTATTAAGCAGCATTAGAGACACCTCCCCTTTCACTGGGCAGAATTCAGGAAAAACCCATCCTCATGGAACTACTGTGGAAATGGCTGATCAAGGCTGATCTTATAGACGCCTACATGGTCTCTGGGTACAGACTGCTCACTTTGGGCAGCGTTTCCAAGTTGATGCTCATCTTACATCTATTTGGGATCTAAGTTTACAGCTTACATCCCAAATAGAATATGAGACATTCATTAGTACCCTTGTAGGTCTGAAGTCAAAATTTGTTACTAACAGCATCAGAATAAAAGCATATGTTGTTTTTCACAGGTTGAAACCCACCAGATTTTGCCCAATTCTATTTTCAGTTAAAAAAAAAACGATATGCTTGACTGCACACTGGGATGTCTGTGCCCAAATGTTGGCTGTGGGGCTGCTCCCCAGC